TCCCACGGCGAAGTTGCCGAACTTGATGTGCTATCGTGGCCATCTCGCTCAAGCCTCCCCTCCCGCTCCCCCCATGCCCTCTCTCGATTGCGCGGTGTTGCCAGGTGGCTCTGGGCAGTGGCTTTGAAGGCGTGCGGCTTTCGCCGGCAGCAGCTGTCAGCCCCAGCTTCTCTGGACTTGCCGTGGCCTCGCCCTCCCGCGCCCGCCCCATAGAAAAAAAACATCGCCCCGGCAGCTGGGAAGTATATATGTTTTCATCATTTTTCTATACCGTCCTGATTTTCTCGACCGCCATCTCTCTCTCTCTCTCTCCACTTGGTTTCCCCTATTATGTCTCGCTTCTCTGTAAACATATTTTTATATATACATATTATATATATATGTATATATATATATGTGTGTGTACATGTAGTTTCACCATATCATAATGGCGTTTTGTTGTGTCGCCGACGTTCGTTATTATTTGGATGCGTTTGCTGTTCCTGCTGCTGTTGTTGTTGTTGCTGTTGTTGTTGTCGAGAGCGTTTCGTGGGGCCCAGTTGCGTTGCGCCAGGGGGGGCGCAACGCAACCGCGCTACGCTCGAGCGCGGGCGTGGTTGGGTTGCGGCCTCCCCCCCGCGAGTTGCGCCCTCCCGTGCGCGTGTTGCGCCCCCCCCCCCCCCCCCCCATTGCGCGCCTCGTGCGCCTTTCGCTGGGTGCCCCATTGTTTTTTCGGCAGTCCGTATCGGATCTGTATAGGATCCTTCACAGGCCGCCTTGGATTTTGTACAAGCCGTTCCGGATCTGTATAGGATCCGCATTGGATTTGTATCGGGCCCCATACAGGCCGCATGGTCGGATCCCATACAGGCCGTATGGGATCCGCGTGGGATCCCATACAAATCGTGGGGGATCTGTATCGGATCCCGTACAGGCCGTATGAGATCTGTATCGCATCCCATATTGGCCGTATTTGATGTGTACCGGATTCCAAGAAGGCCGCATGGAGTTTGCATCGGGCCCCATACAGGCCGTGTGGGAATTGTATCGGATCCCATACAGGCCTTGTGGGGCTTGTTTCGGATCCCATACAGGTATGGGATTTGTATCGGGTCCCATACAGGCCGTATGGTCTGTCTCGGGCCCCATACAGACCGTATGGGATCTATTTTGACTCACGTCTCACAACCGGCGGATTTGGGTCCATTTCGGCACACCCCATCCCATCGGGAAGCTCGAAAGCATTTCCCCCTCCCCATAAAAATATCCGGGCAAAGCAACCTAACAGCGTTGTGTAGGAGCATATCTGGAAGCAGTCCCCGTACGATTCAGATGAGAATCCAGTTGTAGAATTCTGCTGTTCTCGCAGTCGTAGTCGCATTCGCGATGACAGTCGCAGTGGCAACGGCAGTCGCAGTCACAACCTCAGCCTCAGCCTGCCTCAGCCTCAGCCTCAGCCTGCCTCAGCCTCAGCCTGCCTCAGCCTCAGCCTCAGCCTGCTTCAGCCCCAGCATCAGTCTGCCTTCAGCCTCGGCCTCAGCCTCAGCCTGCCTCAGCCTCAGCCTGCATCAGCCTCAGCCTCAGCATCAGCCTGCCTCAGCATCAGCCTGCCTCAACCTCAGCCTCAGCCTGCCTCTGCCTCAGCCTCAGCCTGCTTCAGCCTCAGGCTTTGGGTAGCCCTGGGGGTCAGAGATGAGCCTGTTCTATCTTTGGGACACCCAGGGGTCCATCAACTCGGTTCTAACACTTGGTCCGTCAACGCGACCCCCGTGAAAACCATGTAAGACCAAAGAAAACCTTTGCGCCCCACGTGTAATGCAGAAGGCAATATGCATGCTCTCGATTCCGCTAAGGGTGGGCGTATTCATAGACAACCCGTGAATCACGATTCGCCCCAACGGGTGGTACAACCATCATTGTTGACAGTAGATACAATAGCATTGGTAACACATTTGCCGCCTGCCGTTTGTGGGGACGTATCAAGCAGGGGGTGTCATTCAGTCCCCATTTGTACATCAAGAAACATCAGCAATAGGACACCAATCGTTTTAACACTCGGAAAACATGAGTAACGAACCGAAAACATGGAACGTTAGACAAGAGAAAGGCCATTGAGGAGGATGGATGGGGGGGTATAACAGGAACAAACAAAAATGATGGGGGGCGGTAACGGATGATAGGGGAAAAGAAAAGAGGTGGATGCAAGGCCCATTTTGCAAGTGGGTGAGATGATGGTGCGCGAGGAAAGACGAAGACGACGGGGGAGGGATGCGGGAGGGCAGGAGAGAAAGCACAACAGAAATGCCGATCAAACTTTGAACCCACGTCTGTGGGCAGCGGACCATGGTTTGTGATATGTCGACCCCAATCCAGAGACATCTTGTAAACAAACAACGCTATCTATGGGACGGGGGGGTCGCTTCAAACGGCCTCCGTTTTCGTTCGCCTCTTTTTTCTTGAGTCTGACGCTTCGCCACGATGTTAGATATTGCATGTAGTTTGCGTCTTTCACGGTCCAGGCCTCGTAGTCATATGCGTCGTCGTGGTGTTGCCAGGCCTTTTTACGTCGCCCCGCGTTATGGTTTCTTGTGGTGTCGACTTCTCAGTTTCAAGAGGAAGAGTAGTTGCGGAAGAGAGTGAGGGGCAAGGGAAAGCGTCGCCACGTTTGCACGATCTGTGTGAGGGGTCGCCCTAATCGAACCGACCCCGTTTGACCTCGTTCCGTCTACTCGACCATGCCCACGACTTGATTTTGCCATCGCCGAGTGGGCCCGCAGCCTGTTTGGCTCAAGCCATTTTGGCATGAGCAAGGTCAACCAGGTTGACCTCGAGGACCTGGGGCTGCCCGCCTCGGGTCCCTCGGCCGCAGCCGCGGCGCCGCGGGAGCTCGCTGCAGAGGGGCTGCAGATCGAGCTGGACGGCGATGCGCTGGTGGCCGCCGAGCCAGTGGCCGCTGCTCGGCCCGCCATCGCGGTCGAGGCTGCGCCAGTCGCCGTTGGCGGCTTGACCGCCAGCCAGGCTCGTGCCCTCCGAGCTCGCACTGCGAGGAGTGCGGGGCGCTTGGAGGCCCAGAGGGATCTTGCTCGAGAGGAGCGCGACGCGCTCAAGAGCACGATCGAGCAGGTGACCGTGATGCTGCCTGGCGCCGCAAAGCTGATCGGCCGCGAGAAAGTTGCCGCCATTGGACGTCGGAAGTTAGACAGGCTGCGCCCAGAGGACTTCACTCTCATTGCTCGCGGAGTACACCTCCCACTGCATCAGTGTCCGTCTCTTGGGGTCAAGGCCGTTCGAGTTCTTGAGGTTGCGTGTAGTATCATTGAACAGCGGCAGGAAGATGGTCTCTTTGATCTTTGTCGGCGTTCTGAGTTGTGTTTGCAGTCAGCTGGTGATGACAAGATGATTCATATCAGTCATGCGCACATGTGGGATGAAGTACAGCTGCACTTTCGGTCGATATCTTCTTTTCGGAACGCTCGGAAACGCACCAAAGCAGTTCATCACCAGACGTTGGTCCAACGAGGGGTGTATTCGATCATGCTGAAAGCTGGCCAATGTGAGCACCACTGGCAAGAGCAGTTCATTCATAGAGCTCGCGTTGTTGAGGGGACGTCGGCAAACGCTTTGCAGCCAGCCATCTTCGATAGCATATCGGATCTGCATTCGTACGACGATTTCGAGGCCCTTTCGAAGTTCCTGAGCACTGTCAGTTTCATGACGTTCATGCCGATGTGTGATCGGGGATCTGGGAACCTGCTGTTCCTTAAGAGGCTGTGCTGGATCTATGAGACGGTGTATCTCAAGAGGCCCGAGACGCAATGTCTGTTCATCTTCGTTGAAACCTGCAATGTGCATGCGCATCATCGGACGAAGATCCAATTGAAGGCACTCAAGGCACACACGATGATGCAATATTGTATTTCGAAGCTCTACCGTTTGCAGGGCACTTACATCAAGATGACCACATACCTTGAGAAGGCTGTAGGCAAGTTGCGTCGGGTTGTCGGGCCACCTCCAGATGCAACATCGTGCCTGACCTTGCAGACGGTGTGCGAGGTGTTGTTTTCCATGAGCTCGTCTGGGCATCGTCGTAAGAACGGGAAGTTTTCTCAACAGTACATGGACTTACAGTGTGCAATCGAGATGTTCAATGGCGATTTGAATGGCAAGATGATTCATCATTGTTGGGATCCCGAGTCGCAGTCTCCATGCTGTTCTAGCCACGCCGTCGCTGTGGACAAGGCTTTGCGCGCAGCAGTTGATTCCATGTTTGGCACAGCTGATCCGATACCTGGAGAGAGCACGTGGACGCATGTCATTCCAAACTTCCGTCGCACTTTGTATCGAAGGTGTTTGTATAGGCTCGGCGTCGACTGTTTTACCCTGGTGCCCTCGGACGTCGACGAGACGCGCGTTGACATCAGCTCGGGCGAGGCGGCCTCGAATCGATCATGCTGCGCGGATCCCCGCCGGCCCCATTCGGGCGATGAACGCCAATCGTCGGGCGTTGTCTCCTCCTTCTCCTCTTCGTGTGCTTCTTATTTCCTCCCTGCGCCTCCCTGCCCAGCTCTTCATCTTCTTGCTCGCCCCTCCTTCCTCTCCTCTCGGCCCCTTCGGCGGCTTCTGAACGCGCCCCCAAGGCCTTCGCGCGAGCTTCGTCCAGAAGCTCACGCGAAGCTCTCGGGTTGCGTTCTAGAACGCCTTGGAGCGTCTTGGAGCGTCTTGGAGCGTCTCGGAGGGTTGGCGGTTTGCGGAGTCGACCCCCCCCCCCCTTCCCCCATCCCTTCGGGGGGCGCGATGCGCGTGAGAGGTGCCAGGAAATAGAAGTCTCAAGAGTGGCCTAAAGATAACCCCGACGCCCTACAAAACACCCCCTCCCCCCTCGAGGCCCGCGGGGGGAGGGGGGGGGACCAACCCCTCACCGAATGGGAAGAAGAGGGTAAAGTTGAGCAGAGAGGATTTTTGTTACACAACTCACGCCTGAACGCCGACATGGCTGATGGACTTCACGCAGCTCGTCCAAGGCGCGCGCGTCAGGAAGGTTAGGAAGTACTACGATGACGACTCGACGTTCTGGGACCTCGCAGTGTTGACGATCGTGACCACGGTGTTCGATTTCCATCTCTTGTATCCAGTATTGGGTGACAACGCTGCCGTGAACTTGACAGAGCGCCAGTCGAAATTCTCGAAGACAGACATCTTATTAGATCGGAATGGTTCTCGCATCGGCGCTTGTTTGTTCGAGTTCAAGCGGCTGCTCGGGCCGTGCTGGTCGCAGGATAGCCCTACCCGAATGCCATGGTCAATACTTGATGTCGTCGGTGCTCCATTGACAGATGATGACTTCATGAAGCGATCGAGGGGGTCAATACTGCGATTGGCGACTTCGGCGTTCAGACGATACGAGGTGAAGTACTCGACGTGGCCGTACAAAATGTACAGGATGATCGACAGCGGAGTTCCCGATGCCGAGAAGGAGCGCGTCGCCCAGAGCCTCCTGGACGCGTCGAGGAATGAGCTTGACATCTACAGCTTCGGCATCCGCTCCCAGTTTGACACGGTGCCCATGCTGCTGAGTTCCCGATGCAGATCCATCTTGGCAGCCGACTTCAAGAACCATCCCCACGACATTGCGAACATCGAGCGCACGAACTCGGAGCTGGCGGCCTACCACAGGAAGAGGGCCCCTGGGAGGAGCTCAGTACACGTTGCGCGTGAGCAGATGGTACGCGAGGCGCTCCACGTTCACCTGGATCGGAACGGCTTCCACCCGTTGTCGCCGAGCTCCCTTGCCAACTTGCCAGCCGAGGAGTCTGTGGAGCTGACGCCGTTCATCTGCAAGGACGGCGGCAACAGCGGCCCCTTGCTGTTCGCCATGCAGGGCGCGTCTTCAAGCCAGCCGCTCGCGCTTGGGGACGCGTCAGATGCGCCGAGTTCGTCCTCAGCGCCAGCTTCGCGCCCTACTTCTCACGAGAACGAGGTTTTCATGGCGCCCGTGGTCGTGCGGCGACCCAACCCAGCCCTGCTTGCAGCGCCCGCTGGACAGGCGGCCAGCTCGAGAGCAGACGCCGCGGGCCCCCCCCGACGGCGCGTCGGCCTGAACCCTTTCATGCTTGCACGGAACAAGTACTTGCAGTCGGTCAAGATGGCAAAAGGCAGAACGCTGACTTGCGAAGAGCTCACATCCGCCAAGGAGAAGTTCAGGGCAGACTGGGCTGAGCGCGGGAAGCGCGATGGTGGCCACGACCTGGATCGCAGCGTCTACGACGAGTGGAGGGATGACCCCCCAGATGATCCTGGCAAGCAGAGCGGCCAAGTTAAACAGTATCGTGCATCTTGGAACTGCGGTTGCCAGGCTTCGCCCATCAGCAAGCAGGAGTTCCACCGCCACGTCGTTCAGCATGGCTGGCCGAGCGACGGCGTCATCTGCGATGGCGGTGCTTCCAACCACGTTTTCAAGCCTGACGAGACGGTGAATTTTGATGAGTGGAAGGAGTACGAGTTTTGGGGCGTCGGGCGGTTAGCTCGGAACGTCAGCAGGGACGACGTTGGCGACGTGGTCAAGTTTGAGCGCGTAGAGAAGCACATATTCTCTCATATCAGCAATCTGGGTAAGGAGAAGGCCGACGACGGCACCGAGCTCATCATGATAGAGGGCGACACGTTGACCGAGCCAGTCTCCAAGCAACGCTTCTTTGCCTTCATCACTGGCACTTGCTACAATCCAAAGATCTTTGATGTTACGAACTGCGGCTTCCACGAGGATGATGCGGATCTCTACGCGGCGCCTGAGTTGCTATGTCCGTGCCTGGTGGGGATCCTTACGAGGACTTGCAGGATTTCGGATCAGTTTGAAGTCTTGGATTGCCAGACCTCGGACGAGTTCATTCTGAAGATTGTCAGGGCTTTGCGGAGCGCTTCGCTGTATAGCTTGGAGTACTTCGCATATGCTGGGTTCGACAGCAGTTTGATGTGGTCTCAGGTCGATGGCAAGAAGTTCATCAGCAAGATCTTCGTGCCTGAGCGCTCTTGGCCTCCGCCGTCGCGAGAGCGCGGTCAGAAGCGCAAGTCCGCGATCGCCAAGCTGGTGACAGGGGACCCCTTCGACGAACAGATGCCAGCTGCAGGCGCTGCCCAGGGCATGCGCAACGGGCGCGGCAGCGGCGGCCGCGGCGGCGGCCGCGGGAGGCGCGGCCCACTGGCCTCTGGCAGCGCCGTCGGCACTGGCGGCGAGCAGGGCGAGGAGGCGGCGCAGTTGGACAAGGGGCTGGCGCAGGGGGCTGGCTCCGAGGCGGCGCAGCAGGATGAGGATCGGAGAGCGCCAATGCAAACGCCTTGCGTCACTTGATCAGCCACGGAGCTCGGCGTTAGGATCTCCAACGGTCCACGTCAGTGGGCGTGGATCCTTGAACGCTGAACTTCGCGGCTGACCGAGCGGCGCCGCGCGTGCATTGGGACCTTCTCAGAGGAGACGGCGGAGCGGGGCCACTTCGAGCATCTAGACTTGGATTGCGGCTCCGCGGAATCGAGTCTCTTCGGTGACGATGGTTTCGACGGGGGCCTCTTCGAGGACGCCGAGTTCGAGCGCCCGCTGGTGCCGCCGCCGCCCTCTTCGGCGGCCGAGAGCGCGCTCGTCGGGCGCGGCCTCGACATCGATGACGGCGAGCTCAAGCCTGCAGTTGTCGAGGAGCTCGCGGTGGGCCTCGGAGCTGCAGCCGACGAGGCTGGTGCTGGCAACGAGGGCGATGGCGGCGGCAGCGGCGTCGGGCGTCCTGAGCTCGCTGGCGGCGCATGCGCGGCTGGCCATCCGCCCCCGCCACCCGAGCCGTGGGAGGAGGTCGGGCCTCCTAGTGAGGCAGGGTACCTCTACCGTGGCACGAAGATGGTCGGCCGCCTCGTCAAGAACAAGACGAAAGGTGGTGTTCACGTCACGTGCTATATGCACACGCGGTGCAATTTGATGATCGGCGATCGCTTGTACCCAGGCGACGACTGCATCAAACGGTGGCTTTTCGAGGTAGAGCCCACCTTGCCGACTGCCACCGCCGAAGAGCGCAAGGAGCTCACTGCGCGGCACCTGCGCCTGGCAAAGGACAGGTGGCAGACGGCTCGGGGCCGCGCCACGAAGTAACATTGATGTCGGCTTTGAAGGGAGGTAGGATTCCTATTATGAGCGAGGGAAGAATGAGAAGGGGGTAGGGTGAGGGCGGCAGACGACGAGAACGGCAACCCCAACAGGAGAAGGAGGATGACCACGACATTGAGCAGGTGAAGGTGGAGGAGTTGGCGGTGAAACGCGCGAATGCGATGACGAAATAGACGGGCAAGATGAGAGATGAGAGTAGGCACGACGACGAGTTCAAGGGTGTCAGAGTCATGGGCCGCAACGCGGGCGTATGAGCGGGCAGTGGAAGGGAGGATTGGATGAGGGGGGTGATACGGGAAGAGGTGCTGACACCGAAGGGCTGGATAGGGAAAAGGAGGGGGATTGGGGGGGAGGAGAAGGAAGAGGGGGAGGGGGAGGAGGAGGAGGAGGGAGGATGAGGAGGAGAGGAGAGGATGACAGGAGGAGGAGGAGGATCAGGAGGAGGAGGAGGAGATGAGGAGGGGGAGGAGGAGGAGGATAGGGGAGAGGTTGCCCTTCACCCACCTCCTCATCCTGCTCCTCGTCTCACCTCTCCTCCTCCTCCTCCTCCTCCTCCTCCTCCCTCCTCCCCCTCCTCCTCCTCCTCCTCATCCGCGCCCTCCGCCTCTTCCTCCGCCTCCCCCTCCTCCCCTTCGCCCTCCGCCACCTTCTCCTTCCTGCCCTCCTCCGCCTCCTCCACCGCCTCTTCTTCGGCGGCGTGATCGTTGGCTTCGCGCAGGCGCGTCCGACCGCCATCGCAGCTGTGCTCTCTGTCGCGTCCTGCTTCGCCCTTCCCGCGTCAACTCTCAACGTTGTCTCCATTCGATCGCAGTCCATTCGATCGCAGTCCCCACTCGTCTGATAAGGAGGTTGGGGGTGCCTTTATTATCATTCATGGTAGAGTACTGTAGTCTAGTGTAATGTAGCTTAGTGTAGTGCGTTTAATGTTGTAGTTCAGTGTGTGTTACATGCGTCGGCCCTTAAATGTAGTGTAATGCAGTATGGTAGCGTATGGTAGTCTATGGTAGTGCATTGTACTGTATGATGTAGTTGGTACTGCACCTTGCCCCCTTCGCCCCTATCCTGCTTGCCCCTCCCTCCGCCCATCCCATTGTTTTCTTTCCGCCCAATCGGTCCTTCCATGGAATCCGCGGTTGCCTCCACCGCTCTCTCCCACCACTAGCGTCGTCCGCTCCCAGCCTGCTCACCCCGCCCCATCCTCGCCACCAACCCGCCCTTCACCTCTCACCGCCCACTTTGGCTGATAAGGAGATTGGGGGTGGCATTAAGTACAACATGGTAGTACATGGTATCAAGTACCACACCATACTGCACAACCAGCTGTAATGATATGGTTTCGTGCCGTAGTGCGTGGTAGTATGCTGCATCGGGTTGGTATGTGTGGCGTGTTGCGTGGTATCGCATCTTACTCTATCCGTTTTTAGATAAAATGTATCGCATGCAGGCCGTGCACACCGTGCGGGCCAGCATGCGTTACCCAAGCGGACGCGTGTTTATGCCTATTGCGTTGGCGTGGTAAGCTACATGCGTATGTCAGTATTGCGAGGCGCTTGCGTGTACCAACTAATAAACGTAAAACGCCTGTGGTGTAATAACGTTACAAGCCGCTGCGTTGGTTATTTTTTTTGCGCTCCACGGTCGACATTCGCACGTGAATGCTTCAAAATGTACCATAAATGTTCACGAAACAATTTTAAAGTGCACGCGCTCGTTCATGGACTGGTTAATGTTATTTGTTGTAGGTTGACACGTGTGCTCGTATGGTATAGGATTGAGTTTGTGATAGTTTGCAGTGCCACACTTATGCTCGAATATAATTGCGCACGTGTTATGATGCAGATATATACCACGCTTCGCGTGCCACGCCCCCAGGAGGGCTGCGCGCCCTCTTCCGACGTCGGAGGAGGAGGGCGTGGTTACGTCGGAAGACGTATCATCGCCCCCTCCCCCGTCTCCGCCTTATCCGCCTCCTCCTGACCCTCTTCCTGCTCCTCCTCCTTCTCCTCATCCCTTTCTTGCTCTTCTCATTCCTCCTCCTCCTCCTCCTCCTCCTTTTCCTGTTCGTTCCTCCTCTTCCCCTTCCTCGTCCGCCCGTTCCTCCTCTTCCCTCCTCTCCTCCTCCTCTTCCCTCCTCCTCCTCCTCCTGGTTCTCACCCTCCTCGCTGTTCTCCTCCCCCGCGCCCTCCTCCTCCTCATCCTCCTCCTCTTCACATGTCCTCCTGCTCCTCATCCTCTTCCGTTTCTCCTCCTCCTGTTCGTGGTTTCCTCCTTCATTTCCCCTTCCACCCCCTTCTGGTTCTGCTCCTCCTCCTCCTCCTCCTCCTCCTCCTCCTCCTTCCCCCCCTCCTCCTTCCTCTCCTCCTCCCTGCTGCTGCTGCTGTTGCTGCTGCTGCTCCTCCGTTTCCTCCTCTTCTCCTTCTCCCCATCATCCTCTTCTTTCTGGTGGTGGGGGCGCGGGCGGGTGGGCGCGGGGGGCGGCGCGCTGGGGGGCTGGCGGGTGGGTGACGTAAGTTGGGGCGATCGTACGGGTCGAAGAATGTGTTCGGCATGGCGTAGGCTGGCGCGCGGTTGTAGCGCATACGGTGGGAGGGACGGCTGGCGGTTGGGCAGCGTTCGTTTCGTGCGCACGATTGCCTCCGTCTAATTCAAATCATGTCGGGCTCTGCTTGGGTTGTTTGGGCGATTCGGGTGGAGGCTGCACCGTTGTCGACGTAATCTAATCGCAGCGCGCGTTCGACGAACTTGCTCGCGCGCTGGCCATCGGTTGCGGTCGTTGTCAACTCGCGCACGTGATGCGCCGCGATGTGCCCGACATCTTGGCGGCCATCCATCCGAAGATTCATTGGTTGCCAGCGGCCATGGCGGGCGCCGCAACGCCGCGCGGCTGGCTCGATCGCCATTGCGGTTCGAAGACGCAGGAACCCTTCGAACCTGAGGCCACAGGGCGAGGTGCCTGCCTTCGAGCGGCTGGCGTACAGCTTCGCGTTGTTGGCTTCGGCGGCGCCTCTCGGCGTAGGGCGGTCTCGAGTGGCGGCATTCGGCGTGGCGACGCCGCCAGCGCATTCGCTGGCACGCAGCATGCGCTCTTGCGGGCTAGGGTGAAGCCCGATGGAAGGAAGATTTCAAGGACTTCTCGATCGACTTTACATCAAGAAGCCTGATGTTCGTGCGAAGGTACGGCACGGCGATGCCTTGTACCACCACCCAGGCTGCGACCTTGCAAGGGGCTCAAGGTCCAAGCGGCATTTGCTTCAGCGGGCAGACATCGCACCCGTCGACTGGCGCGCGCTGGAAGTGCCGTGCGCATGCTCGCGGTCGGAGGTCGTGCTCTTGCCGCTAGAGCTCGGTGCCGATGCAGGACGACATGGCATTCAAGTTCCTTGTGTTGCGATTGGTACATTTCGCATTCGGTGGCTCTCAAGTCGCGCAAGAGGGTCAAGGGGTGGGGGTGCGGTGGCGAGAAGAAGGAGAGGTGCGGCCGTGCAAGATTGAACGATTCGCATGTCCCCCCCCAAGCCCCATCCCCCTTCCACCCTCCACGCTCCCCCTCTCCCGCGCCCACGCATCATCACCCTGACCAACGTTGCCATTGCCAGCGCGCTTGGCTCGTGCGAGGATCGCCACCCGACGTGATCCCTTACGGATTTCGCAAGTGTGACAACGACGCAGCCCAACGGCTCGGACGACAAACGCGCGCAGCGGCGAGTAGTGTTTCGTAAACTATCGTGGGTACGTTGCCAGCGGTGTTGCCTTACGTGTGTTTTAGCTGGTGTGGCTGTATTACGTTTGGCCGATTGGGGTGCGTCGCGTGTCCTGCTGCGTGGCAAGCATTCCGTGTCGCGTAGTTGCGTTGTGCTTCATGCATTCATGCAGCGCACAAGCCGCGCGCGCGCCGCGGTGCCCCTCGCCGCAACGGCTGCATTGCTGCGTGGGCGGCGTTTCGGGCGCTATCATTTGCATGCAGCCAGCTTTCTGCTGCCCCGCTGGCTGCCTGGGTTCTGAGGCATTCAGGTCGCGCCGCTGCCACGCGAGCAGTTGGCCTGCCTTAGCGAAACGCAGGCCACTGCAATCGAGGAGGGGGATTGACGTAGGGCAGAGCCGCGCGACGAGGGCCAGTCGACTCGCGAGAGGCGAATCAACTAGGGCGAGTAAAGACCACCGAGGCACGTCAAGAGGGGGACGTCAACTCGCCCCCGCCAACTCGCCTTGCCAACTCAACACCGAGGCCGCACGTCAACACGACGCTCTAAGGCGGGAGACACGTCAACTCGCCCCGTCAACTCGCCCCGTCAACTCGCCCCGTCAACTCGCCCCGTCAACTCGCCCCGTCAACTCGCCCCGTCAAGACGGAGGGTACGTCAACTCGCCCCGTCAACTCGATCATATAAAACTGGTAGAACGAGGGCCGCGTCAACTCGCCCCGTCAACTCGCCCCGTCAACTCGCCCCGTCAAGACGGAGGGTACGTCAACTCGCCCCGTCAAGACGGAGGGTACGTCAACTCGCCCCGTCAACTCGCCCCGTCAACTCGCCCCGTCAACTCGCCCCGCCAACTCGCCCCGTCAACTCGCCCCGTCAACTCGCCCCGTCAAGACGGAGGGTACGTCAACTCGCCCCGTCAACTCGCCCCGTCAACTCGCCCCGTCAACTCACCCCGTCAACTCGCCCCGTCAACTCGCCCCGTCAAGACGGAAGGTACGTCAACTCGCCCCGTCAGCTCGGCTCGCTGTCTTTGCCGCGCAGTCTGAGGGGCCTGAGCCCCCTTTGACGCCAGGGTGTTGAGTGCTCTGCATTCGCGGGTGGAGCAGCACTCGGAATCGCGCAGAATCTAACCGCGCGCCCCCCCCCTCCCCCTTGCGCCTGGCCCTGGTCCTACCTGCTGTGTGTTCCCTCTTATTCCCTTCAACTGAATTCCGTGCGCGTTGCGCGTTGTCGCACCGCCACTACGGCGCCGCAATCGCCGACGGTGCGCCGCTGCATTTCTGG